TCATCTGATCACAAGCATCCCAGAGACATTTGTTAAAAATAAGATTCCAAGGCCCCATCCCAGACCTGCTTGGCATGTGACAAACATTGCCTTAGTTAAATGAATATCTGAGTCTTAAACTTTTGTAACCAGACGTGTCCTAGAGATGCTCCAGGCCGGTGGCTCTGAACCTTAGAACCTCAGAATCACCCGGAGCATTCATTAAACCACAATTGCTGGGTTCCATTCCCACTTTCTGATACAATCTGAGGTGGGATTGAAGAATTTGCCTTTCTTTTTTTTTTTTTTTAAAGATTTTATTTATTTATCTGACAGAGAGAGAGACACAGTGAGAGAGGGAACACAAGCAGGGGGAGTGGGAGAGGGAGAAGCAGGCTTCCCGCCGAGCAGGGAGCCTGATGCGGGGCTCGATCCCAGGACCTGGAATCATGACCTGAGCCGAAGGAAGACGCTTAACTACTGAGCCACCCAGGCGCCCCGAAGAATTTGCCTTTCTAATAGGTTCCCATATGATGCTGCTGCTGGTCCAGGGGATGACGCTTTAAGAACCACTCAAGTCCAGTTGCTTCCTACCTTTTTAACCACAAGCCACAACAGAAAAAAGATTTTACATTGGATCCCATTCTCACACGGGTTCATCTGAAAAGTTTCACAGAACAATACTCAGTGCTTGCTATTCTTGCTATGAGCAATACACTCTGGTATTTTCTATTTTATTTCATTCTTTAGAAATCCACTGAATTAATTGCACATCCCAGCAACAGGTTGCAACCAGCAATTTAAAAAAAAAAAAAAAAAACTAAATCTAACCCAATCTTTGAAATGTCTAAATCAGTAATCACACTTTTTTGATCATGTGCATTAAAAGTAAAACATTTTTGAGCATGCACTTCCCAAATTTGTACATTTATAAATTATATACTTGTACTTTTGTGATCCGTATATAAAATATTAGTAGAGCTTAATATATTTATTTACATTTCAGATGGGAAAAAATGTAAATAAAGGTTCTAACACTTTTTCGGGCTCCTGAGTATATCATCTTTGCACACTGCTCCACCTTGGAGACTCAGACACCCAGAAACTTCCAAGGCCACACAGCTGGCTTCCAGTGAGGCAATTTTGCTTTTGTTTAGGGACACTGGGTGGCTAGGTCAGTTAAGTGTCTGCCTTCGGCTCAGGTCATGATCCCAGGGTCCTGGGATGGAGCCCCACATCAGGCTCCCTGCTCCGCGGGAAGCCTGCTTCTCCCGCTGCCACTCCCCCTGCTTGTGTTCCCTCTCTCGCTGTGTCTCTCTCTGTCAAATAAATAAATAAAATCTTTTTTAAAAATTTGTTTTTGTTTAAAGTTCTTAAAAAGTAAGTAGAGGCTGGTTAAATAAGAAGACAGTGTTGGCTTTTTTTTTTTTTGCTCCATTTTTTAAAATCTCCAAGGGGTATAGGAAGAAATATGAATACCATCACATTTTTTTTGAAAAGGCTACCAACTTCCATATGATGTAACTTCACAGAAGCATCAAATATGATAAATGGTGGTGATTCACTATACCTAGGAGATGGGCTTTTCTGAAACAATGAGACTGGGTCTAATATCCCCACTACTTTCTAGTGTTACAATGACAACTGTGCCAGACAGTTTGCTACATTTCATCTGAACAATGAGACCCTCACGAAGAAGTTCTGCCCATAGCTGGGCTCTGGCTCCTAATTTTATTGTGTCCAGTTCCTGGTAAACAAGGAGAAGTAAGCTGTAGACACTGGGCCATTTCCCCCTCTTTGTGGTGAGCTGTAGCAACTGAAACTTTTGGATCCCTCAAAAGGCAGGAAGCAGGATCTGCTGTTACCCTATGTTCCCAGAAGAGAAATTTTATCTTTGTTCCTGTCATAGAACATCTTCACAAGGCTCTAATTAGGTAGCATGCACGTGACCCACTCCTGCTCTCACACACATGCGCAGACCATCGATGTGACTGGCAATAAGGTTCAGAATAATTATGTAGCCACTAGAATGAATTATGACTTTCAAATAGGATAGAATGAGACACCCGTAACTTAAAAAAAAAAAAAAGACCAAAAGCTCCCTGACTGTTTATGGATAGTAAATATCTTGCCCCTAAAGACACTTCTAAAGTTACAAAGAGGGAAGTTAAAAACTGAAGCGATTTCTTTACATGAGGTGAGAAGATCTTACAAGTTCAGTGGGGAAAAAAAAAAAATCTTCACTTTAAAATTAAACTTTGAAGTTTGCAAATAAAAGCAGACCTGATTCCCAGTTCAGAAAGGGGATGCTTAAAGGTGCATCAGCCTTTGAAAGAGCTCTGTGGGATTGCTGACCCGGAGAACCTCCGTGCACTGGGACAAGGAGAAGGATTGAAAGGGTGCTGGCCCCAAGACAGACAGTCGGACACAGTCGGGCTCCCATTCCGTGTTTCAACTCAGCCTTCAACTGCTCCGTGTTTTACTCTGTGTAGCCTGTCTGTGTCTTCCTCTCTTTCTTCCTCTTTCTCTTTTTCTTCTGCTGGTTTTTTTTTTTTCCTACTTCATCTCACCCATCCTCCAACTGGCCATAATGTAGCCCAGAAATGTAAATATGTTTACTTTTGTTAAACTGATTTAAACTCTACATGTTTCCCAATTTTAATTTTGAAAGTCATTGACTGAACACCTGATGGTTCTCCTCGAAAAGCTTTGTTTATTTTGAATTTGCATGTGGTCTTTGATCTGTGAGGTTTTATTCCCTAAGAGATCAGTGGCTCACTCACAAGAGGAAAAAATTCTCTGTGCCCCTAATTTACATTACGGAATCACTCTCATTCCGGATAAACCAGAAGACGCTGGGAATACTTTAATTAGTTTTGTTTGGTCTCCACCTGGTGGTTGGAAATCAGAACACAAGCCATTAATGGAACTGGAAAAAAGTCGTTTCAATTCCTCTTTTAAGTATTGAGATCAAATTCTCTAATAAGAAAATGTTTTCAAACTGGAAAAAAAAAGTAATTATTATGAAAATTAAGAAAGACTGTTCTATAACTTTCTTTCTTTAATTTGCTTCTTTATAGGAACCAAGAATGGAGAAGGCTTCTTAATTTTCCAACTTCTGGGATGACTTTCTACCAGAGTCTGATATTTTCCCAAACCACCTATGTTCATCTAAAAGTGTCCCTGGATGCATTGAGAGTTTTTAATGGAGACTGAAAATTTGTAACTGAAGAACACACAGCATTGAAAGTCCTATAGACCATGAAGAAGATATTTAGAGTGTGAGAACTGAACCAAGAAGGCAGCAGTCACCTTGTTCGACTGCAACTGGGAACGTATGTGTCACGCAACACAAATTTTGTGATGCTCTGCATATGTCTATCAATGACCGCGAAAGCATGGCAAGTATTGATTTAGGGGTTACAAATAGATTTTAGGAAGTAGGCTGTTATGGACTAAATTGAGACTTCCCAAAATTGATCTATTGAAGCCCAAACTCCCAATGTGACTGTATTTACAGATAGGGCCTTTAAGGAGGTATTTCAGATTAAATGAGATCATAAGGGTGGGGCCTTAACCCAATAGGACTGGTGTCCTTATAAGAAGAGGAAGAGACACCCTCTCTCTACATTTGCAGGTGCATAGAGAAAAGGTCATGTGAAGACATAATGAGAAATTGGTCATCGGCAAGCAAGGAAGAGAGGCTTTGCCAGAAATGGAATTTTCCAGCACTTTGATTTTGGACTTGTAGCCTCCAGAACTCTGAGAAAATAAATTTCTACTTAAACCGCCCATCTGTCGTACTTTGTTCTGGCCCTAGCAGACCATACATAGGCAAATTTGCAAATACAGAATCCACTAGGACTGACTTTTTCTGAGGACTGACTAGATTTCTGAGGATTGACCGTATTTTTTCTAACGTCAGCCTCCCTGCTGAATTGTAAGCTACAGGAGCCAGGAACTGTGGATCCGCCTGTTCACTGAAATTTCTCAAAGCGTGCCTTACCTGTAATAAATAATAAATATATCATGAACAAATAGATAAGTGCAAGCTATGCTATATAGTTTCATTCCCAATATCTTTCCTTGCCCTCCTATTGTTCTTGTTCTTTTAGTATACTATCATTATACTTTCATATATTCTTCTTTTTTCCTATTTTATTATGCAGAGAAATCAGAATGAGTCATACAAACTGATGGCATCCTGAGTTCACTGTTTTCCCATAATTGTCATTGCTTGGGCATTAATGAACTTGGTCGTGGCTGTCCGTATTTTCTTCACTTCTGTTGATTTGGGTGCATTGTCCTCTTGAACCTGTTAAGCTTTATTGCCTTTTAAAAGGTCGTGAAAATGTTTACACTACGATCCCACACTGAAACAAAAAGTCACTGTATACAAAGGAAGGCCCCGTGGTGAAGGTGTGGGACTTAAGTCTGATATTTGTGAAGCAAATATTTGTTGTTGGAGGAGTTACTGTGGCTCTATATTTTCTTGCAAAGCAACAAGCAAGTGCTTTAGGAGGCCTAAGAAAGGAAGATATCCATGAGCAGATGAAGAGGAGTGACATTCTGTTAAGGAGGTCCGTGTCAAGATTGCTTGTCACCTTGCTACCCCAAAATTGGCATACAACCAGCAGCGTCTGGGAGCTTATTAGAAATACAACATTTCAGCTCCGTCCCAGAACTATGGAATCAGAACCTGCTTTTTAACAAGACTCCCAGGTGATTCATGTGCCCGGTCAAGTTTGAGAAGCACTGACATATCACATGCCAACATATGCACCGAATGAATTTGGAGATCTTGCCAAGTCCCTCGGACTAGATGAAAGAACTGTCAGAGTAATGAGAGGTTTGTGTGCCCAATTATTGCAAAAGGACTGCAGCCGTGCCTCAGTTTAATTGGCAGCATTCTTCTTCGTTCCTAGTGATTCACGAAATAAGGGTCCTTCCGACAATCAGTGGCATCTGCGATTTGAGGGACTACAGGGGTATTGGTTCAAGACCTTCCTTTTGCTCTAAATTATCATGGTCACAAGTGAGGAGACTCAAGAGGCGCTCATTTGTCACAATTTACAGTCACTCAAGCAGTAAACTCTCAAATCAATAATGTTTTTCAGTTTCAGCTCCTGGAAAGGTCCAGATTAGAGCATCAGTAGAACAGAGAGAGAGAGAGAGACAAAGGGCCCTTCTCTGGAAAGAAGCAGAGTAATAAGGCACATCTTCACAAATGATCGAAGTCCATGCAAGAAATGCTTCCAGGCCTAAAGATTGATGGGGGATTTGAAAGAAAAGGAGAAGAAATATGCACAAACACTCTTCATTTTGAGAGGTGACTCTTTTTAAAATTTATAATTAGGAAATTTTACAATTTTCCTCTTTCATTCTTCATTCTGGTTCACAATGGGGGGGGTGGTAAGTAAAATGAACAGAATTGGGGGGCTTAATATTAACAATGATTGCTTTTCTTAATCATTTCTGAGTGTTTACAGGTTCATACATAAGTAAATACAAAATGTATACAAATATATTCATTTCAAGCCCTCAGAGACTTTACTTGGTATCATGGAGGTTAATTTAAACTGACTACCAAAGTTCATAGCCCTGCACTAGCACTCACTGTGTGACTTTGGGAAAGCTAGTTAAGCTCTCTGTGATTCAGTTCCGTCACCGGAAAACAGAAAAAATAAAAAGCTGTTGTAAAGACAAATGAGCAAAGCACTTAGAATAGTGTCTTGTATATAATAAGTGGCCAATAACTATGAGATGTGGTTCTTTCTGATATGAATATTTTTAGCCTTGAGCATTAGTTCTCAGTGCATGGTCCCCAGACTAGCAGCATTAGCATCCTCCGGGAATTTGTTAGACATGCAGATTCTGAGTCCAACCCAGACCAACTCAATCAGAATCTCTGGGAGTGGGGCCTGGCATTCCTTTGCTTCAACATGCCCTTCAGTGGTTTGATGCAGACTACAGTTTGAGAATGGCTGCCCTAGGGGACTAGCCCTTTGGGAGTGGTGATCTGAAGGTTAGGTTCCTTAACTCTTCAGCTTCCTGCTCTTACGCTATTCAGCACGATGGAAAGAGCCAGCGGAGACACGGAGTCAATGTACAATCTTGTGCAGGCCTACTTTGAAAGCTTGATACAAACATGGCACTTCAGTTAGAATGAGCAAGGGATTGAAAAGCAGAGTGTAATCAAGATCTGGCTGCATGAAGAAGAGAAGCCAAGTCAACAGGAAGCCAAAGTCCCCGAAGTACTTAAAGCACAGCTAGGAGAGAAGATTGGACAGTAAGATTGTAATAATAACGTGTGATTAGAGGGCCGCTACCACAGTGAATGATCAGGTAAGAAGGCAAAAGGAGCCAGAGAAAGGACAAAATGGCCAGAGATGTCAAAGCAGCTAAACTGTGTAATACCACACTTCCCTAGCTCCCAGTGAGACACGGAGCCCTACTGTGAATTTTGTTAATTCTTTGGGGACAGGTGCCTTTAATATCTAAGTTACTGAGGATCAAGATCTTGACAAGGTCTGTGGCTAAGTAGTAAGGCCGCTAGGCTTGTTACCTTCTGGGCCCTGGGGGTGAATTCCTTCCTGGAAATTTGTACTTCGTTTCCTTGGTTATTTGACCATGGTTGCTTGGGCATTGGCTGCCATTCTGTTGATGCCTGTGATTTTTATTTGCTTCCCTTGGCAATGATGAAGGATGGCCACTGGAAGCGCTTTAAAGTAGCAAAGTATTGTTTACTGAACTTTAGCTGAGGAGTTGATTAGAGACGCGAAGTCCAAATGCTACTTTTTCATTTTTTTGCAGCCTTGGAGAAAATGTTGCTTTGTAGCATGTGAATTTCACAAAAGGGCATCAAGAAGGCCCTCTCCATCCTATTCTCTCTTCCCGCCCACCCCCCCACCCCCACCCCCACCCCCCTCCCGCCCTGCTGCCAGGCCAGGAATAACCCTATCTCTTCATCTCCTGTTAGATCTAGAAATTTCACTGTCCTTGGCAGGGCATTGAACTGATTAAAATATACATTCTCAGAGGATTTTTAAGATGCTTGCCTGGCCAAATTGACCCCACAACACTTTGCAAGCATGTGGTATTATATAAAATCTCAACTAGAAAGAAATAGTACCTCAGTAAGTGTCCATATCTGGTGCTGTTGGGTAACGCTTTATTCAGTAATCTGCTGAACTGTCCCAAATTAGCCAAGTGACTCATGTTTAGTTAAACAGTAAGCACAGAACTGGGGACTATACAAGGTTGGTAACACAAATTATCAGAGGGCCACAAAGTCTAACCCAGTGTACTAGTATGGAAAGACTTTCTTCTAAGACTGTAGAGCTGCTTAGAATAAATACATAAATAACTTTAGTGGCCTATCATCCCTTTTCTGCTCACTTTTTCTTCAAATATATCTTGTCCCCAAACACAAAAATATTCCTTATGGCAAAAATAAATCCCAAAAGTCAAAAGGTGGAAGTACCTCAAGTGCCAATCAGTGGATAAATGGATAAACAGAATGTGATATAGACATACAATGGAATATTATTCAGCCTTAAAAAGGAAGGAGATTCTGACACATGCTTACAGCAGGGATGAACCTGGAGGACATATGCTAAATAAAATAAGCCCATCACAAAAAGACAAATACTATATGATTCCACTTATGTGAGGAAACTAAAATTGTCTAATTCATAGAAACAAAGTAGAATGGTGGTTGCCAAGGTCTGAGAGGAGGGGAAGATGGGGAGTTATTGCTTAATATAGAGTTTCCGTTTGGCAAGATGAAAAAATTCTGGAGATCTGTTTCACAGCAGTGCAAATGTCCTCAGCACTACTAAACCATACACTTAAAAGTGGCTCAGATAGGGGCGCCTGGGTGGCTCAGTCGGTTAAGCGACTGCCTTTGGCTCAGGTCATGATCCTGGAGTCCCGGGATCGAGTCCCGCATCAGGCTCCCTGCTCGGCGGGGAGTCTGCTTCTCCCTCTGACCCTCCCCACTCTCATGTGCTCTCTCTCATTCTCTCTCTCTCAAATAAAAATAAATAAAATCTTTTAAATAAAATAAATAAATAAATAAGTGGCTCAGATGGTGAATTTATGTCATGTGTTCTTTACTACAATAAAAAGAAAATCAGGCTTCCCTTGTAAAATGGCTAAAATGGTAAACTATGTGTATTTTACCACAATTAAAAATAAAAACAAAAGGAAAAAAAATAGAAATAATTCAAAAGGCCAAAGTGCCACATAAGAACCCTGTACTTTTTCTTTATACCTGGATCCCAAGAGAGTCCTATTTGACAGTGGCTTTTAATGAAATAAGGAGAAAAAAACTGAAGCCGAGAAAGAATGGTTAACCTGGCTGGAGTCCCCCCAAAATATAACCTAGGCGGTCTGCCTCAGCATCTGCTTTCATAAATGCTGAACTAACCAAGGCTCTTGCAACGGAAAAAGAGACAAGTTTAAAAAGAACAAAACTCCTTGTCAATCCAGACACGCCACGGCTGCCCTGCAGAGAGGGATGACTGTGCCTCTGACCCTGAGTGAAGCTACCGTCTGGACGTGCGTGCCCGAATACCCTGGGAGGGATGGTGAGCAGCTGCTGCCTGTTTGATCTGAGACAGGAACTAGAAGGGGTGAGCTGGAATTTCATGGACAGCTTTGGGGTGAATGTTTGCAAGAAACTTCTGTCTCCAGAATTAACCAGTGAAGGGTTCTGGAGGGAGGTGGTGGAATTCTCTGGAACAGAGATTTTCTGCAGTGTTCATGCAATCCTCTGCCAGGTCAAAAGGGAAAAAGTTCTCATCAAGTCTCAAATTTTAACTCTGTAATTCTTCTGTTAACTAAGATGACTCTCATCCTCAGGGACTTAAGCTGAGGTCAGCAGGAGCCACTGTGGTTACCAATCCACCTGAGACCAGGGAAGAAGAGTTGAAATCAGGGTCACGGAACACAACTGCAGTGACACACAGGAGTGGAGCCAGGCCTGAGATGAGGCTGGAGTAAAGGTGAGTGTAATTTCCCCATTTTGACTTAGGTTTTAGGTACATCCATGATTCCAAATGATCACTCTGCTCAGGAAGAAAGACCTCCTTCCTGATCTGCAGCAATGCTCTCTTATAATTAATAAGCGAGCAGAGAGTCATCTGGCCCCTGTCAAAGGTGATGAAAAGTCATGGACTGTTGTGGATTCTTTCCATTGTCAAAGTTTTGACACCAGATTAAAGAAACATAAAACTAAATCTCTACTTCACACCATGCATGAAAATAAATTTCAGTTACATTATAGAACAGATGTTTAAAAACACAGGTAAAGAACACTGAGAAAAATACTGTAATATTTGTGTAACTGTGGATGAGAAAGGTCTTTTTTAACATGGCACCAATGTCAAAAGTCCTAAGGAAATGACTGACACATCTATTCTCATAAAAATGAAAAGCTACCAAGATAGACAGTGATTCTGGAAAAATATTTAAAAACAGATAATGGGACAATGTCTTTTGAAAAAAGAGGGCTTAAAATGAATTTAAAAACCAAATTTTTGTTTGAAAAAAATTAAAAAGTAAAAGGAATTGAACAGAAAAATCACACAATACAAATGACAAAACTATGAAAATTTGTCTTAACATTAGTACTAGTAAAAACCAGAAAATTATGATGACATTTTTCACACCTTGTGTTGGCAGATATTAAATCCTTTTCTTCCATCCTATGAATTGAATTCCCACCAAAGCCGACATGGGAGTGGTGAATCAGGGCAATTCCTGCATTTGTCATTGGTTACCATTGCCCACCGCCATTGCCCCTGGATGGGCATGCAGGGAGACCAGGAAGGAGCGGGTTTTGATGGCAAAAGTGAAGAAGTGTTTCTCTCAGCCAGTGGTTTAATGAAGCACCATCCCACAGAGCAGTTGGAATCCTCATATAATGTTGGTGGGAGTGTTTATTAATAGAAGCACTTTCAAAAACTGTTTGACAGTGTCTATGAAAGCTAAACTTATGCATACCCTATGACTCAGCATTTCCACTTCTTGGTATTTACACCACAGAAGTGAGCGCTTAATCTGTACCCAGATCCAGCACAAGAATTGTGCAAGAATGTTCATAATTTCAACAGCCTTTCATGATAGAAACACTCACACTAGGAATGGAAGGCAACTTTCTCTACCTGATTAAGGACATCTACAAAAAATTCACAGCTGTATTCTTAAGGTGAAAAACTGAATGCTTTTCTCCTAAGACCAAGAAGAGGACAAAGATGTCCACTCACAACACTTCCATTCAACGCTTTATTGACTGGACCGCTCTAGCCAGAGCAGTTAAGCAAGAAAATGAAATAAAAGGGATACAGGTTGGAAAGAAGTAGAATTATCTCTATTTGCAGATGACATGATCTTGTATGTGGAAAATCCTAGGGACTCTACTAACCTGTAAGAATTAATAAATGAGTTCAATAAGGTGCAGGATACAAAAATCAATATACAAAAAGTAATTATATTTCCATACAGCTGCAATGAGCCAACAGAAAATGAACAATTTTATTTACAATAGCATCAAAAAGAATAAAATGCTTATGAATAAATTTAACAAAAATGCAAGACTTATACTCTGAAAGCTGCAAAACACTATAGAAAGAAATGAAAGAAAACCTCATTAAACCTATCTAAAGACGTTATGTTTTCATGGGTCAGAAGACTTAATACTGTTAAAATGGCAGTGTTCTCCAAATTGATCTACAGATTAAATGCAAAAAATTCAAAATACTAAGTGACTTCTTTTCAAATATTTAAAAATTCATATGGAATTGCAAGGGACCAACAATAGCCAAAGCAATCTTAAAAAAGAACAAAGTTGGACACCTCAAAACTTCTAGATTTCAAACCTTACAACAAAGTGACAGTAATCAAGACAGCGGGGTCCTGGCGTAAATGAGACATGTTGGACCAATGGAACAGAATTGGAGTCCAGAAATAAACCCTCACGATTATAGTCAATTGGCGTTGGACAAGGGTGCCAAAAAGACTAAGTAGGAAAAGGATAATCTTCAGTAAATGATGCCAGGGCATGTTGGTACCCACATACAAAAGAGTGAAGTCTCACCCCCTACCTCACAACATCAACAAAACTTAACTCAAAAATGGATCAAAGATCTAAATGTAAGAGCTGAAACTGTAAAACTCTTCAAATGAAACATAGGCATAAATCTTTCTGGCTGGTTTCTTAGACATGACCCCAAATGCATAAGTAGCAAAGGGAAAAAATAAACAAGGTGGACACAAAATGAAAAACTTTTGTGCTGCAAAGGACATTAGCAAGGAAGTGAAAAGAAAAACCACAGAGTGGGACAAAATTTTGGCAAATCACCTATCTGATAAGAGACTTCTATGCAGAACACACAAGAAACTATTACAGCTCTGTGATAAAAAGGCAAACCACTATTTTTTTTAAATAGGCAAAGACTCTGAATAGACACTTCTCCAAGGAAGATACAGTAATGACAAACCAGCACATAAAAGGATGCTCAATAATATTAGCCAGCAGGGAAATGTCAGTTAAAACCACTGCTGTACCCAGTTACCTCTTTGTGTAGGCAAGGCCTTTATAGGTGATCCAACATTTCAAACATCTGGTTTCAGCTCGAAAACACTGGACACAGACTCTCAGACTGTCACTTGCAGTGGGCCTGGGGCGGGGAGGGGGGGCAGTCTCAGCCTCCACCCCTTGCAAGGCGTTGGGCAATCTCCTCCAGAGGGTCCCTTCTAGCCCCAGGGAACCCAGAGAGCTGTGCCTCTGGCCTCTCCTATCCTCCTTAACCCCTGGCTCTATTGCTTCGCTAGGCTTTTACAAAAGAACAGAAGAACGTTTGACTTCTGGTTGCTTCTGCATTATCCTGCAAGAGTCCCTGAAGCCTCAAAGCCCTAAAGACCCAAAATTTAGAGAGAACAAACACAACTTTAAAATTCCGTTATCTTGCCATAGGTATTTCTCACTCTCCCTTAAATAACCTGATATGTATTATTCACTAGACTTCAAGGTTATATATAAGGGCAAAATGTGAAAGATTGCACTCTAAGTCATAATTACAATAATAAGCAAATGCATATTTTTTTCTCATGCTTTACTTTTGCTTTTTAAAATTATCCAATTATTATTATGGTCACATTGATCAAAATATAAACAATTTTTAAAAATACACAAATGACCTTATTCTGGTTGAAAACAAACAAAAAAAAAAACAAGTGGGGTGCATGGGTGGCTCAGTCAGTTAAGCATCTGCTTTCAGCCCAGGTCACGATCCCAGGATCCTGGGATGAAGCCCCACATCAGGTTCCCTGTTCCTCAGGGAGCCTGCTTCTCCCTCTGCCCCTCCCCCATCACTCATGCGCGCGCTCTCTCTCTCAAATGAATAAATAAAAATCTTTTTAAAAAACCCAGTTAATAGTATCCATATTTCTTTCCCATTTTAGTATAGATCTATCAGTCCACGTGTTATTTTACATCCTGCTGTTCGCACTTATGATTTCCATGTTACCATATAAATGTTGTTACATTGATTTACAGGGTCTGCATGAAACTGATGAAATTCTACACAGATCCTTCAACCTCTTAATTCCGTTCCTCGGAATTCTACTTCACACAAGTGTTCCAAGCAAACGTAACAGTCTTTCCTTCCTTGTAAATTTTCCACCGCTCCCCACATTTAAGAAAACAGGATGCTTCCACCTTTTCCCCCAACCCCTTAATCTCTTCTACTTGAAACCCCAACTGCCTCTGTCAAGCGCCTCTCTGTGCAGGACACGGCTGTTGCCTCATGGACAAAGGCATAAAATCAGAGCAAAGCAGTACCAGTTGCCTGCCATTGCTGGAGGAAGAGGTCATCTTTCCCGACTTTTACCCCAGCCCACAAGGACTTTTCATCCCTCCAACTTCTTTAGTGTTCCCAGCGCTGGGCAGGAAGGATTGCCCCCAAAGTGCTCTCAGCCCTCTGGTAATCATCCATGAGCCAAATCTGCTTCATCTTCCTTCCTAGAAACAGAAACCAGAAGCCAACCCTGGAATCTAAAGGAAAATCCTGAATGTGATTTCATCTCTCAAACTCCTGTTGTGGTTTTCAAAATATGCTCCACGAGGAATGGTTTAGAGTAGTAGGTAGATGGAGAATGGCTTGTAATCCTAAAGTATTTGTACCCTGTGCATATTCTATAAATCAACAACTGCCCCCCTGCTACCTATCACCCACTCTTCTACAAATAAAGAACTCAATACATTAAGGTCCCAAGGTTGACTACAATCCAGTGTTTATTTATGGCCCCTTATATCTGCTCTGCAAACTCAGGAGAGAACATGGAGGAAATATTAAAGTAATTTCTTTTCTTTCTTTCTTCCTGACTCCCACGCCCAAGTTAGACGCCATCAACTGAGCAAAAGATTGAAGAGAAAATGCTGGGTTTTTTTATTATGAAGATAAAGAAATCGTTGTGAAGGTAGGGTCTTCCCTGCAAAATTACTTTAAAATCCAGCGTTGTGTTTAAAATATATTCATGACACTCGTTAAAGAACAATAAGGCACACTTCATTCAGGACCATTTCTATAGGTGTAGGGACCACTGAAATGGGGTTTCGCAGTGGGAGAGAGAGATCAGGCTCAACTCCAAATACAATAAGGAAAAGTGGGAGGGTGCCTGGGTGGCTCAGTTGGTTGAGCGACTGCCTTCGGCTCAGGTCATGATCCTGGAGTCCCGGGATCGAGTCCCACATCGGGCTCCCTGCTCGGCGGGGAGTCTGCTTCTCCCTCTGACCCTCCTCCCTCTCATGCTCTCTGTTTCTCATTCTCTCTCTCTCAAATAAATAAAAAAATAAAATCTTTAAAAAACAAAACAAAACAAAACAATAAGGAAAAGTGGGAATTTATAGCCATGGATGGGGCGGGGAGTCAGTGAATGGAAAATTACTAAGAAGAAACATCAGCGGTCAGGGGGACTCTGGCTAAGCTGACTTGACAGGATTCTTGCTGAAGACCAGCAGGGGAATCAGACATCACCTAAGGGATGGTGGAAGCTGAGGAACCCAACCCCACATCAAGGACAGGGGACTCTGACCAAACTAACTCAGCAGGATTCTTGCTAAAATTGAACAATGAAAAGGCAAACAGAAGCCCAAAACTCAGGTCTTAGTTGAAAAGAGATGCCTTAGTCTGAGCTGCTACAACAAAAATACTGTTACAGGATGTTTTCTCTGTTGGTGCCTGAGATTCTTGGTCAGGCATCTTAGAAGAATGAAGAGGTAGACCCGCAGTGGTCGGCAGCAAAGCAAGGTTTATTGAGCAACAGCAAAGTGATAGTACAAAGCTCCCGAGGGAGGGGACTGAGAGGCTTGCCCCCGGAGTTTCTAAATCTAATGGGTATTATGGGCTTGTTGACAGGCTGTTTTAATCTGATTAACCCTCCCTGTGCCTGTCATCCAATCAGGTTCTTGTCATCTATCTACTGCAGGGGAAAGGGTGGAGGACTCCTTCCAGGGCGATGTAAAATCCTTTTAAGGGCGGTTTCCTCTTAGGGCAGGGGCCCCTTGTCCCTGCCTACTTGGCTTCCAATTATCCTTCATCAATATCACAGACTAGGTTCTGGGGTCTGGAAAGTCCAAGATAAAAGTGCCAACATATTTGGTGTCTGATGAGAGCTCATTTTCTGGTTCATAGATGGCCATCTGGTTCATAGATGGCCTCACGTGGTGGAAGAGGTGAGGGGACTCTCTGGGGCCTCTTTTATAAGGGCACTAATCCCATTCACAAGAGCTCTACCCTCCTTTCCCTAATCACCTCCCAAAGGACCCACCTCCTAATATCATCACCCTGGGGGATGGAATTTCAACATATGAATTGCAGAGGACGCAACATTTAGCCCACAACAAGAGACTTGAGAGGAGACAGATTAAAGCTTGGTCAAAGAGAGACTGGCAGTTGTAAGACTATTTGGAAATAGCTGAAAAGATTCTTGGGATTCTTCTTGGCAAAACTAAGCCCTATTTAGAGCCCACTTTTGCAGGTACTCTGATTCCAGCCTTTCACTGCCTGTCAGCTATGTTACAACTCTGTACTTGTGGAGAAGTGATAACCAGGCCAAGTGTGTCTTGTCTATAGATGTGCAAATGTATTCTGTCGGTGGATGTTTGGGATTGACTTCCCTCCCAGGGAAAAAGCCAGTTTTCCTGTTCATTTGTAAATTCGTTTCAGCATTTCTTTATTCCATATAAATTTGTGCTCCTTTGACTTCTCCTTTGAACTAGTTAACATCCTACCGACTCCTTTATTAACAATGAGTTGAATAAATCTTTAATACATGTTCATATTATATCAGCATGAAAGTTCTGATTTTAACCTTGTTTAAAAAATCACCCTGTAACAAGGTCAAGCCTCCCAATTCCAATGAAGAGGACTAGAAAAATCTACACTTCCATTCAAAGAATTGCTAAATAAAATATAAAAATAATCCCCTCAAGAGAATAAATTCACAGCCAAAAGGGACCTGGTCCCACACGGGTTAAGGAGGTGGAGGTAAGTAAATTGAGCCCTTTAAAGGTCTACACCCTCAGTGAAAGAGGGGATCAGAATGAAATGTGTCCACCAAGTCAGGAAGATGTCAAGGAAGTTTGTCTGTTCTGGACTCAGAAGACGCAGTCCCAGCTAAAGATGAGTTTACTGTAAAAAATTGTTAAAGCATGAGAAATCATTCCACCATAAGTGACAGTCAGTGAACACAAGTACCAGAAGTTGAAATAACTAAAAAGACAAACTGAAGCAGAGGAAAATAATTATCTTTGAAATTATTTAAAATATTATTAAATAATCCAAAACTAAATAAAATAATACCCTATTTTTAAAAAACAGGGAGATTGAGAAAATTTGAGAAATAATTAAATAGAAATTTTAGAAGTGAAAAAGAGTTATTGAAATTAAAGTAATTCACACAACTGATAAGTGAAAAAAAAACATTAAACAAAACTAAAGAGATAATTATCAGGCTAAAAGACAGATGTGGAAAAAATGATCCAAAATACTACAGAGAGATAAAGAGAGATAAAGATAAATACAGAGAGATAAAGAGAAGAGATTATGACCAAAAAATGAGGAGACATAGAAGACAGTGTGAGAAGGCTAAACATAGTTGGGATAGGAATTCTAGGAGGAAAGAATGAAGAGAGAGAAATGTGAAGAAATAGATGGCAGAAAAATGTCTAGCCTTGGTAAAAGACATGAATCCAGATTCAAGGATCATTATGATGTGGAAATCGGGAAAAATAAAAATAGACCCACTGTCACAAACATCTTAGTGAAACTGAAAAACACCAAACACACAAAGAAAGTCTTTTGAGACTTAAGGTCCCTGAGAGAAAATACCTGTAACTCACAAAGAAAGAGCAATAAACTGATAGCTGACTTTACAACAGCAATATTAGAATGGCCAGGAGATGACAAAATACTGTCCTCTGATTCCCACTGTGGACAATCAATACCCAACTCATTCAAGAGAGAAGAAAAAATTAAAAACATTTTCATATAAACAAAAAGAGAATTTATCACTCACCATCAGTTGCTGAAAGAATTACTGAGGGGTTGGGCGCCTGGATGGCTCAGATGGTTAAGCGTCTGCCTTCGGCTCAGGTCATGATCCCAGGGTCCTGGGATCAAGTCCCACATCGGGCTCCCTGCTCAGCGGGGAGCCTGCTTCTCCCTCTGCCTCTCTCTCTCTGTCTCTTATGAATAAATAAAATCTTTAAAAAAAAAAAAAAAGAATTACTGAGGGATCTTCAGGAAATGGAACTCAGAAAAAATGAGATGCAAGAAAGAAAGGTGAACAAAGAAATTGATAAACATGGAGCAATGTAAAAACATGCTCATAAAAAAACAATAATGGCTAATTTGGGCAAAAAAAAAAAGAACCCCACTATACAACATTAGCATACAATATGGAAGAGGGAGATGATTGAAATCAAAGCATTTTAAGGTCTTCCTTCAAGAAGGAAGATTAATTAAAGATGAATTTTAGACTTCATAAAATATACCAGGTTAGGTTTTTAAAGGGTTCGCTTAGACAATAGAAAAGGAATGTTTAATTCTGAGAAATGTGGAGTGGCGCAAAAGGGAAATAGGAACCCCTAATCAGATGCTCTCCCACACGAGGCACCCCGTCCTCCCTAGGCTAGGGTTCCTCATGCACCAGGGAGAGACAGAGATCCAGACCTCCATTGCAACCATGCCCAAGAATAAAGGTGCAAAGAGGTGCAGCAGTAAGAATGAGAATGAACCTGAAATAAGGTAACTAGTGTTTAAGGATAGTGGACCAGTAGGCCCACGTGACCTAAATGTTGGGAAATGGGCAATTGGAAGCAATACATTTTGACAGTCAGAAGAAATTGAGAAAGAAAGGTTAGGATAAGAACTTCAGACATGTTATTGGTGAGTTTACAAGACTCCTAGACGGCAAAGTTACATATGTTACATTGTATTGCTAATAAAGTTGGAGAGATGAACTTCCAGGACAAGCTACAGTCGAAGGCAGGTTACATTTGTTCCTGGAGATGGTGTCAAGATCCTACGGGGATGATGATGAAGACACTGAGCATATGCAAATTGAACTCAACATTTTACATTCTGGTCTTTCTGAGAGTCAGAATTTGGATCATAGCCACAATCCATGAGGAAGCCTAAAATATTGCTAGCGTGAGTGAAGTTTGTTCAACAGATTGATTTTCCATGTTTGTTTTGAAGTATTCTGTGTCTTTAAAAATTGATACTAAATTAACTTCAATCAAATGTGAAACCCACTTGGTTCTTTTACTGTAATGGAATTTACTTGGGCCAAAACCCCACAACATCTGTCATTTAGAAAAAGAAGAAAACATATATTATCAGTTTCCCTGCTGTGGCCACCTCACCTCGAGTATATGGATGTTTTGAAGAAATTCTATACCATGTAATTATCATGGATTATGTGTAAACCTCTAGTTTTGACTAGTCTGTGCGCTGATCAGAGTCCTTCTGAATATTTACTTTGATGTCTTCTTGAGACTTTGTTAAAATTTAAAGGAGGCAGAAATCTGCGTTTGATATCACAATCCATGGCTCTTTCCTTCATAGTTTAGCACTTTGAGCTTTTTCTTTTTTCTAATAATTTTGATATCACACACATTCTTTGCATAATCTTACGTTGCCATCGTAAAGAAATCAACAAAAGCTATTTCCAAAAACAGTTTTAAGAAATTGGGTTTGAATTTGTTAGTTTTGTAGTTGCAGAAATTGAACACTGGGTGGCAACCAATCATCAAAAGTGTTAATGTATTAGTTTTTTGTTTTTTTTTTTTTTACTTGTTATGAGTGAAAAATTTCACAAAAGGAACTACCTTTTTAACCTTTTATTAAATATGAAGTTTTAAAACTCCTCCTTTAGAAATAATGTCAAAGTTATAAAATATTGCAAAAATAAAAATAGTACCCAAAACATACATACATCCTCTACCCTGATTTACCTATTGTTAGCATTTTATACCATTCACTTTGTTTCTTTTTAAAGTAACACTTTAAAATTTTTTTTAAATTAAAAAAACTCATTATTATTTTAATTCCAGTATAGTTAACATACAGTGTTATATTAGTTTCAGGTGTACAATATAGTGATTCAACAATTCTATACATTACCCGATGCTCATCATGCTGAGTGTACTCTTTAAACTCCACCCCTATTTCACCCACCAAACCCCCCCACCTCCCCTCTGGCAACCATCAGTTTGTTCTGTACAATTAAGAGTGTGGTTCTTGGTTTGCCTCTCTTTTTTTCCCTTTGCTTGTTTGTTTTGTTTCTTAAATTCTACATATGAATGACATCATATGGTATTTGTCTTTCTCTGACTGACTTATTTTGCTTAGCATTATATTTTCTAGCTCTATCCGTGTTGTTGCAAATGGGGATATTTCATTCTTTTTTATGACTGAATAATATTTCATTGTATCTATATGCCACATCTTTATCCATTCATCTATCAGTGGACACTTGGGCTGCTTCCATAATTTGGCTATTGTAGATAATGCTGCTAACAACATCAGGTGCATGTATCCCTTTGAATCTGTATTTTTGTATTCTTTCGGGAAATATGTAGTAGTGCAAATGCTGGATCGTAAGGTAGGTAGTTCTATTTTTAACTTTTTGAGGAACCTCCATACTGTTTTCCACAGTGGCTACACAAGTTTTGCATTCCCACCAACAGTACAAGGGGGTTCCTTTCTTTCCACATTCTCGCCAACATTTGTTGTTTCTTGTATACCATTCACTTTTATCATTCCCTCTCTCCCTTTCTTCCTAATAAATCTATCTATGTATGTGTAGTTATTTTCTTGAACCATTTGCAGATATGTTACATACGTCCTAAATCTTACCCATAAGTATTTTGGTGTGTATTTCCTATAACAGGAATACTCAAAAGAGTCTGTTTTGATGGTAGTTATAGAATATTTATAGAGTATAAAAGACTAAAATAAAAATGTTATTTTTTTCCAAAAGCCTTATACACTGTAAGATGTAGGTTTGTGTGCTTTATGTACACTTAAATTATGACTTGGAAAGGAAAATAATTTCAAATTAACTTCTACAAAGTAAGTTTTTCTCAAATTTCCTTAAGCTGGAGGAGGAAGAAGGAACTAGAGCTTAGTGGTAAGAGGTCTCCAATTTCAAAAATAAAAGAGTCACAGGTAAAAATTATAATAAAGAAAACATTATGCTGCTAAGGTATATTTTACCCTTAAAAAGCCCCAGAAATCTGAAGTCCCAATCAATCCAACAGAAGGTAGGAGTGGAAGTTAAAAGTAAGCAAAATAAGACAACGATGGTGGTGATCACAAAAGTTAAAACATAATCAAAATCCAAGTATATGTTATTTAAAACTAGACACAAAACATAAATGCCATAGAAAGACTGAACTTAAAGGGATAGAAAAAGATACCACAGAAACAACATCCAAAAGAAAGGTGAATATCTATTTACACATAAAATAAAATATAATGGACTAAGTCAAGAAGCATTATTAGGATGGATACCACATAATGAAAAACAACCATCAAAAAAGATATTCCCAAACTAAAATACACCTAAGAGGGGTGACTGGGTGGCTCAGTCAGTTAAGCGTCTGCCTTCAGCTCAGGTCATGATCCCAGGGTCCTGTGATCAAGCCCCGCATTGGGCTCCCGGCTCAGTGGGGAGTCTGCTTCTCCCTCTCTCACTCCCCCTGCTTGTGCTCTCTCTCTGTGTCAAATAAATAAATAAAATCTTTAAAAAATAAATAAATCCCAGAAATAAACCCACAATTATATGGTCAATTAATCTTCAACAGAGGAGGAAAGAATATATGATGGGAAAAACTCTCTTCAACAAATGGTGTTGGGAAACTGGACAGCCACATGCAGAATAAAAGTGGACTACTTTCTTACACTGTACACAAAAATAAACTCAAAATGGATTAATTTTGTAATTTCTCTGACATTGGCTATAGCAACATTTTCTAGATATGTCTCCTGAGGCAAGGGAAATAAAAGCAAAAATAAACATCAAAATAAAAAGCTTCTGAGCAATGAAGGAAACAATCAACAAAACTTAAAGGCAACCTACTGAATGGGAGAAGATATTTGCAAATAACATATCCAATAAAGGGTTAGTACACAAAATATATAAAGAACTTATAAAATTCAACACCCAAAATATGAATGATCCAATTAAAAAATGGGCAGAAGCCATGAATAGGCATTTCTCCAAAGAAGACATTTTTCCAAAGAAGACATGGCCAACCAACACATGAAAAGATGCTTGACATCATCTATCATCAGGGAAATGCAAATCAAAAGTACAATGAGATATCACCTCATACCTGTCAGAAGGGGGCTAAAATCAAGACACAAGAAACAACAAGTGTTGGCAAGGATATGGAGAAAAAGGAATCTTCTTACACTGTTGGTGGGAATGCAAACTGATAAAGCCACTGTGGAAAACAGTATGGAGGTTCCTCAAAAAGTTAAAAATAGAACTACCTACCTTACGATCCAGCATTTGCACTACTACATATTTCCCGAAAGAATACAAAAATACAGATTCAAAGGGATACATGCACCTGATGTTGTTAGCAGCATTATCTACAATAGCCAAATTATGGAAGCAGCCCAAGTGTCCACTGATAGATGAATGGATAAAGATGTGGCATATAGATACAATGAAATATTATTCAGTCATAAAAAAGAATGAAATATCCCCATTTGCAACAACACGGATAGAGCTAGAAAGTATAATGCTAAGCAAAATAAGTCAGTCAGAGAAAGACAAATACCATATGATGTCATTCATATGTAGAATTTAAGAAACAAAACAAACAAGCAAAGGGAAAAAAAGAGAGGCAAACCAAGAACCACACTCTTAACTGTACAGAACAAACTGATGGTTGCCAGAGGGGAGGTGAGAGGAGGGGATGGGTGAAATAGGGGTGGAGATTAAAGAGTACTCTTATGATGAGCACTGAGTAATGTATAGAATTGTTGTACATCTGAAACTAATATAAAACTGTATGTTAACTATACTGGAATTAAAATTAAAAACTGAATAAAAATATATATTTGCAAAAGGCATATACTATAAGGCAATTTATTCCAGTTCAATTTTTAATAGTAAGAGACTATAAAACAAATATCTATGAATAGGTTATTGGTTGAAGTTGAATAAATCATGGCACATCCTGAAGAAT